TAGCGTTTACAATTTCACTCTTAATTTGGATTTGGGGACTTGAGAATTTGAAACTAAATTTGAGATGGGGTTCAATATTCATGCTGCTTTGAAGGTAAGATGAAGTTTAAAATGCGTTAATTTTGTTTGGCAAAGTTCTATCACAACTAAGAAATATTGCCAATATTTCATGTTTTTTCCTATCACTTTGATGTGGATGTTGCTACAAGTGTGGTTATTTGGAGAGTGCCTGAAAGGTGTTTGMTAAAATGTGTGAGAGAAATGTAGCTATGGTTGCTACACAAAGCATAGTGCATCCTTGTATAATTTAAGTAGGATAACAATTAGCATGACACTTGAAATCCTTGTTGAAAAGGTTCATGAAACACAAGACTTGCACTTGGTCACATTGGTTCTTTCTTGAAGACAATAACAACTTAGCATAGAAAGAGATTATTCAAAATAAAACCTTAAAATTGATGGAAGTATTCTGGGCTTCCTAAAGAAAGTTAAGCTTCATCATTGGTAGAAACATAAATTTGAGCATCACAAAATATTCAAAAACCCAAAAATGATGCCTAGCTAATTTAGATGATACACTTGTACAACATGGATGACATACAAAAACGATATATAGAAAAGACATATATAAAAAGAATAAATCATAGAAGAAAAACAGAATTAAACAGGGTTGATGGTAAAGTAGGTTTGAACCACTGTAAGAAGAAACAACAARATTCCAGCAAGTAGAGCAATCATATTCCATGGGCTACTGAAATATGTACGTCTCAACCATGCAAGATTTCTGGGCCAATAACCGTTGTAATACGTATCCAGTTCYTGCCACTCTTTAGGATAAAAGAAATCTACAAATGAAGATTCTTTRCATATGTGGTTAATCATTGTTGCRGCCTCTTCATTTGAACCTATAGAGTTGASAACAACTTTGGATTCTAYCAATSTGGCAACATCTTCTTGATCATTGATTAGCATATCTATGGCTACGGCATATGATGTTATGTAATTACGAACCTGAGGACAGAATTGCTCGTATGCAATCAGGTTCCTTAAAACCAACTCAGTTTCATCGTGAATACACAATACTGGCATTCTGAGAGTAGGTTTACCCCAAGCCCAAGGCCACTTCCAGGAAAAGCATACAGACGTAGGTGATTCTAGTTCAATGGCCAGACACCATTTTGGATCTTGATGATGAGGCTTAAARTTCACCCCTGCCCTGTCCAGTTCTACAGCCGAATGGATTGTTGAATTTGAAAAATCTGATTGAGGAGGATGTGAAGGCTGGTAACATTTATGCATAAGACCAAGAATATGATCATGTTGACCCTCCTTATCATCATTCTCCATTGTCAAATTTGTTTTAAAGATGTTGACAACTTGTATAAGTATAAAGAGGAGTTYATTTAGACAAGTTATTGGTGTAAACCTGGAASACGTGCRCTCAAAGATGTCTTGGAGAACAAAAAAGGGGATTTGGTTTTCTATCAGCAGCAGGTCATAAATCATAGCCWGCGSAAGCACCATATTTTCATCAAAACMRYCCMYGGATAACTTGTAACTGASTTCAAGAATGAAACAAGCATCCATTACCATCATTCTTGCAATTTCATCGTCRCTGTAGCTCTTCATCCCGTCCTCATAACTAGCCCTGATTCTGTCTATTGAAGCATTCACCCCRTGCACACATGTTTCCAATGTGTGTTGTGGTGAGGAAGCTAATAGATCACGCAGAAAAATRGCTTTTTGTGGTTCAAAAGGTAGCAAGTTTTCATCGTTTCTGTGAAGAGGTCCAATAGAGACCACCCTCGGGTTGAAAGCCCTCGGGTTAAGATCTCGAACCCTGCTTGGAATGATTTGAATAGATGTTGGTGAAAATTCCTTGTGTTGTTTTTGTGTGCAA